GTACAATTTTTAAATTCTTAAAATAAAAGTAAAAAAATAACAAAAATATTGTAGTAAATAGTTAAATAAGAATAGTCATTAAAATTTTGATAACTCTCAATACATTTTTTGAATTTTTAAAATAAACATAATCAATAATAAAACTAAAGTAGCCAATAACTTAATAAAAATAATCAATAGCTAAATAAGAATAGAATCACCTTTGACACTCCTGTAGAGGGTACTCTTATTTGTCCTCCAGTTACCTCCCTCATATCATATCTTGTGCGTTGAATTATATATACAATAACATTGTTTCCCATTGTACCATAAAACACATTGTAAACTGAATTTCTACGTTCATTCAAACATTGACAATCACTCACCCTTCACTCCTACGATTGCATTGAATACAAGTGGTGCTAGCCACTCGTGTGTTGGTGAGACAGGAACAAGCGTCGCCAATTAATGGTTTAGGGATGAGGCAAAGCTACGAGCTGGTGAAATGATTCTTCAAGCCAAATCTGTATAATTGAGAATGGCCAAACGGAATAATTGTAAAATTTCAAAGCCAATGGTTCCATCACACCCGAGCGGGGACAATGGCATCAGAGAGTGACACATCCAGGTCGCAATACCGTTAAGTTGAACAGTGACGTTGGGCTGCGCGAGAAAAGGTCTTCACTTCATTTTCCCTCCATCCCCACATCTGCTTTAGATCTGAAGGAAGGAATGGGAAGATAGAGAGTGGAGGAAAAGGGAGCAGAGAGACCTCTTCTGTAAGGCCCACCTTGCCTCCAGGTTGGAGTGCTCAGGAAACATTCTAAATGGGGAAAAAATTGTAAGGGGCAGTTTTATTCTCTTTTTTTCCGACCGGAAGCACTTTTATCTTCCATTCCTTTGCCCCAGACGCTGCATCAAAAAAATGGGAAATAATTGAGGACACGTGTCACGCATCCATTGAACCAAGGTCCATCATATTCATGCTCATCTATTGGGTCTCCTCTCATGCATGATTCAGCCCGACACGACACCACATTATTCATGTGTTGCGTTCACTCTCCCACATCACTCCAGCTAACGTCATATCTGTTCCCTTTTTTTTTTTAATCAAATAATCATGGAGCACCTCCAAAATTCCGCCTAACTTTTTCTTTAATTAAAAATTACTTTTTTTTTCAAAAAATAACTAAAAATGAAATGTTCTGATTTTTTTGTTTTCTCTTAATTATACAGATATGTTCTCTATTTTGAAAGTCCAAACCATTAACGGTTTCAAGAATATTCTGAAAAGATTTTTAAATATAAGTAGTATTTGGATTGATTTTTGGAATAAAATCAAATTAGGGTTCTTAAAGGTATAATTCGGCCATGACTTATTCCTGGGGAAATCTTGGTGCATCCTAAGTTTCATTCCCCTTTCTTTGTTTCCCCTCTTAGAGATTGGGCGAAATTCAACCTTCAGAAAAGTATAGGCAAGAATTCTTCTCTACAATGGGATTTGGTCTGGGGTGTTGCCATTTGGAAGCTGTGGACTTGGGGCAACTATTCAATCTTCAAGATATTGATTCGCGAAACCAACAAATCCTGATTTAATTATCAATCACTCTTGGAAACTGTATGTACAAACCAATAAAGAACCCTTTGTAAAGGGTAAACCACAGAGCACAAATTTGCGATGTGGACACTCCCCCCATTGGGGTGGATTAAAGTCAACGTCGATGGCACTATGGTATCAACTTCAAACCGAGCAAGCTGTGGGGGAGTCATCAGAGACCACAATGGGAGTTGGATTGCTGGGTTTGCCTATGCACTGGGAACCTGTTCAGCTCTTGAATCTGAGGAATGGGCGGCCTTTAAAGGACTCAAACTAGCTTGGGACATGGGGTTTGAGAAAGTGATACTTGAATCAGATTCGAAGATTTTGATTCAGACGATTACAAACTGTAACCACGGTACCAAACACAATCTTGTGGTTTTTCAATTACTACAGATGCTGAATCTCCAATGGGAAGTACAAATTCTGCATATTTCTAGGCATCAGAATCGTGTTGCTGATTCTTTGGCCAAGGGGGGGCTCTCGTCTTCGGATTTCTTTCCTTCTTGCCCACTTCATCTTCGGACTATGGTAGCTGACGAGAGTTTGGGAACTCCTTCCCCTTCTTAATCTGTAAAGCTGGGCTTTGCCCTCTCCCATGCCAAAAAAAAAAAAAAAGATTGGATTCGCTTAGATTTGGATCCAACTTATCTGTTATTAAGTCCTTTCATATCCTTCCATTGATCCCAAGCGTGCAACAATTTATCAAAATTAATTATTTTAATCAGTACCTTTTTATCATCTTAAAGAAATAATATTTCTCAAATTTAAGGTGATTACATAAGAAATATATTAGTGCGATAAACACATCATATATCTTACTCTTTTAATAATCCCCCTCTTGTCATGTTTATTCTTTGTTATTTCAGCAGGCTTATTTTATCTTCGGGGAAAAAAAATTAAATTTAGAAATAGCTAAGAATAACTTACTTCCCAACAACAACTTCATTGATTTTTTTTAATGCCAATCCCATTGTATTCTGTCCAAAATAAAATACTCTGATTCTTAATATAAGATTTTAATAACTAATTTGATAAAAACTAAAAAAAAATAGACTGAGTTAGTTATTTATAACAAATATGTGTTGATTTCCTTAAATTTCTTTTATTTAATCATAGATATTAAAATTGCATTTGGCTGGGAATACTTTATAATCAAAAAAGATATTTTTCAGAATATATTATAAATTTGTGAGATAAAATAAATTAAAATCTTATATTTAAGACTGTTAACCTATTCTTATATTTAAAATAGTAAATAACAGGGTTCCAGTTTTTTCCCCTGGGGGTCATGCCAATTTCCGTTATGGGCCAAACCCAACCCACTTCGCTTAGACTGAATCTTTCTAGTCACCGGTCAGCACAAGGATAAGGCTGTCATTGCCGGTAATGGCACCAAAGGGGTTGACTGACGATGACGAACATAGACACAGGTCAATGCTTTGCTTTCTAATTTTCCATTCGTTTATTCCGTAGCCTTTTCCAATTATCTATTGGAAAATTTTGGCCAAAAAAATTATCTGTGAGAAAATAGAGTCTTTAAAAATTGAAAAATACACCCCATCAAGAAGGAATCTTCTTTTAATAGAGACAGAAAGATGATCCAAAAGGCGCGTTAGTGGTGGAAAATAAGAAGGTTTCCTAAAATCTTCCCCATGGGACCCAAGTTGATGGCATGACCGGAATACCACATTTTAAAAAATTATTTATTTGAAATTAAACTAAACGTATTTTTTTAATAATTAGGTGAAATTTTGAGGTGAATTTTACTATTCATCACGTAAAAATATAGTAGATTTATTATAGCTTTTATAATATATACTGACGTTGACATATTGATTAATGATTTATCTGCACGTCAATTTATATGTTCGAGAAAAAGATACATCTAATGATTTTTTAAAGTTTTCAAAAAGGAGCCAGAAAAGCGTAAGTTTAACTTCATTTACTTTAGGCGTCTGAAGAATTTGGTGGAGGGAAAAAGTGGAGTCAGTGGAGGCTAATAACGAAGAGTAAGAAAATTGTGGGAAACCATAATAGAGTTGATGCCTGTTAACGGTGAGCGTGTATTACTGGTGATCGCTGAGATAAGGCAACGGTTTTATCTATAATTCATGAGTTTTTATTACTTATTAGCTTTATTGCCATAATATGTAGGTTAAATCTGATTATTTTATATTTGGATATGTTCTTAGCAATGAAGAAAAAACCGGACCGGACCGGATCGGCCGGTTCAACCGGAAAACCGGTGAACCGGCCTCCAGTCCAGTTTGGTTTGAAGAATAAACCGGTTTTGAATCAAACCGAAATGAACCGGAAAAAACCGAGAAAAACCGGTAAGAACCGGCAAAACCGGTGGGTTGGGTGGGTTACCGGTTTTCTTTTTCTCCCCTTCTTCTTCTTTACTCTTACCATCTCACCACCGGAGAAGACATGAACACGGTTGAGAGAAGTGGTAGAAGCAAAAAAAATCATGAAAAGAAAGATCCATTTGGAAGCCTCTTATGTGTAGTCTCAACCCTATGCTCGTGGAAGAGTCAAAGGCAAGGAGGAGGATAAATACCAGAGTAGAATAGATGTGCAGAACGAAAGAAAAGGTCACTGTTTATTTTCTCTATCTGAGAAAGAACGAAAGTGGAAGAGGGAGAAACGACTTTCAGGCTTTGAAGTTCTGAACAAGAAAGAGAAGAACCAAGATAAAGTACTCGGCTGTTCACGAGGAAAGAGGAAGAAAAAGTAAAAAAAATCACCTTGTGATGGACATTCACGTGAGAGAGAGAAGGAAAAGATAAAAATGTAACCTATAAAATAATGAAAAAAAAGGATTGTATTGGACCATGTGAGGAAATCAGAAAAAGACGGGAAAAAAAGAAAAAGAAAATAAAAATAAGATAAAAATTATACACATAAATATTTTATAATTAAATTATATTATTTTAATTATTACCGGTTTAACCCAGTCTAACCCCGATCTAATCCACTGACCCTTAACCCACTATCTTGACCGGTTTAGTGTCCAGTCCGGTTTTTTGTTCCTTGGTTCTTAGCTCCCTCCCTCTCGTTGATCTTTAATTTTAATTTATTAGTTTTTTTCAATTGCTTAAGCTTTTGTTGTTTAGGCTACAGGAGGTCGCCCCCACAACAACGTAAGAAACTTGTGATGATCAAATTTACTTGATTTGTAAAGATTGATGCGTTATGGTTCTCTTTCGTCTTATTGCTCTTTATTTTTGCGGACAATATCATTCTTCTTATCCAGTCATTGGCGCAAATTAAAGTGTCACAAGGTAAGGCAGACTTGCCGTGGCAAAGCTTTCTGCTCTGGAAAATGGAAATCATGTGCAAATTAATTTCCGTTCTGTGAGAGCTCGCTTCACTTTGATTTACTTGAACATGAACCTGTGTAGAAGCATTCACGAACAAGATGGATATGCCATTTCTGAAACTGCTATCCCATTTTCTGCTTCTCACCTTCTTGAATTTCGCTTCCACTTCTGAAGCAGACAGTCCTGCTTACGATGACCACAACTGCACAACGCATAAAAACTTCGCTTCCAATAGCCCCTACCAGTTCAACCTTAACACTCTTTTAATTTCCTTCTATTCCATGGCCGCCGACACTAACACCACTCCTGAATTCAACAACACCAGATGTGGCAGCACAAACACGGACGACGCCGTATATGGAGAGTACATGTGCCGAGATGACGTCCCCACTCAGATCTGTCGAGATTGCGTTCAGGACGCCACAAATAGAATAGCCTCGATGTGTCCCTACCGGAAAGAGGCAATCATCTGGTACGACGAGTGCTTCCTCCGCTATTCCGACCGCTCTTTCTTCTCCACCCTCCAACAACAGCCTGTTCTTAACAGGCCAAGCAGCAGTTGTGAGACTGTCTACGAACGTTCTCCATCATGCTTACGATCAGACATCCAAATCGGAGGCTTGAACAAGACATTGAATGATGCGGTGGTGGAGGCAGTGACATCAGATACCAAGAAATTCGCAACAAAAGAAGCAAGGTTGAGTACTGGAGGATCGGTATACACTCTTGCAGAGTGCACGCCGGGTCTGTCCCCACAATTATGTGGTGAGTGTCTACATGGCCTGATAGAAGATATTCTGAAGGAGAAGGACCACTGGAGTGGTGGATTTCTTAATCCGAGCTGCAATTTGAGATTCGAAAGATACCGATTTTATTATAAGGACAACCAGCCTCCCTCCAGTGGTTCTACCTTTCAAGGTAACGTTACCATGTTTTTTTTTTTTCCCTTTCCTTTACTTTCCCCTTTCTACGCGCGAGTTGATAATTCGGCTATTTTTATAAGCGGCCAAAAACCATGTAGAAGAAGAAAAGACTTCCTTCGTCGCTGGATTAGTACTCCCACATATTTGATTTTGCTCTGATTTTAGTTTTATGCATGTTATGTTTTTCTTTCTGTGAGATACTTCATAATTTTGTCACTCCACATAAATCTCAAAAAACACAATAAAGTAAAATTGTAAAATAAATTTATTTTTATATATTCATTAATAATTAGTATAATATATATATATATATATAAGAAAACAAAAACATGATATATATATATATAGTTGATTTCTTGTTTATTTATTTTTAATTGTTTCTCAAATATGTTTAAGAATTAAAAATATTTTGATGTATATACTTTTTTTTTTGAAGAGTTGGTTTTTCAAGGGACAATTATATCCAACGAAATCCATCCTTCAGGATAGAACTTACAGCTTCTCTCTCTAAAGAGGTTGGATGATGTTATTGTGATACCATGCCGTTGGTTATTTGGAAAGTTCTCAAATTAAATTAACAATTGAAAATTGGATCCAGTGAGAGTTCCTTCATATTGTTGTCCCGACTCCTAAAAGTCCAGAAAGCTTTTCCATATGTTTCCTTTATCACCCCCTTTTTTCAGCCTCCTACTTCGACATCAAAGCTATAAATTTAATGTTTTAATTCCTCAATACATTCTTTGCGTTAGTTTTTTCTTTTTCATAAAAATGGCACAATCCATTGCCCTCTATAATTTTTTTTCCTTGGGATTGATTATGTATGTTCGTTCAAATTAAAGGTTATATACACGCACGCTTTTAATAGTTGTCACTAATTTGCACTAAAAAAAAAATTCAAGGACTAAAGTCAAAGGAGATACGTTTTTGCCGATTTATTTTTTAGTTAACTTTTCCTATTTTTAAATTGAAGATGTGATTGAATTTTTAAGAAATAATTATCCAATTAAAGAGAGAGTTAAAAAAAAAAATTTGTTCACCTTTGGAAAAAAAAACAACAATTTACTCGTAATTAAATATAATGATGTTTCCTTACTTATTGAAGTATTAATTGGGTATTTATGAATAGTACATCGAGGCCATGACATAGTCATAAACATTTTGTTTCTTTTATTGAAAAGGGCTTGGAAGTCCTATTCTTGTAGGCTCGGACTGCTCGACCACCGAAAGTTTTACTGCCAACGATCCCTACCTAAACAACCTCAAAAGTCTCACTCTCGAGCTCTCCATGTCATCCAATGACACCAAAAGCAATGGATTCCACAGCACCACAGTCGGAAACAATTCCGACACTACCGTCTACGGCCTCTTCATGTGTCGGGGTGACGTGCCCGTTGGGCTCTGTAATGAATGCGTCAGTAACGGAATTGAGGAACTGAATTCTACGTGTCCCTCTTCGAAGGAGGCTATCATTTGGTATGACATGTGCATGCTTCGCTACTCCAATCGCTCTTTCTTCTCTACCCAAGACACACAACCTATATATACAGCAGTTGCTGGGGATATGCTTGGAAACCAAACAGATGGCTTCAATCGGCTATTAGCTGCTACATTGAGTGGTCTAGTGAAGGCGATATCAAACTCACCGCCCGTAGGAGTGAAGAATTTTGCAACAAAAAAAGAAGTCAGCACTTCAGAGCTTACAACTTTGTATACTCTTGCACAATGTACTCCAAACCTGTCTAGCCAAGATTGCCAAAAATGTCTACAGGATGCTCAGGAAAATATGACGTCATGTTGTCTTGGGAAGCGAGGAGGAAATGTCATGAGTCCTGGCTGCAACTTGAGGTTTGAATCGTACCGATTTTATGATGACAGTAAAAGTGCTGTTTCGATGCCTCCTGCATATCCCCCGACTCCCGAAGTTCACATTTCGGGAAATACAGGTAAAGTGATTGAGGATCTAATTAATCATCTTTCTCACGGACATAGTTCACTACATATAAATTGACATTCCTAGTTTGCTCTCAATTTTCTACATACAAATCTGCTCCATTTCTTGTCTATGGCATGCAAATACACACGTGTTAATTTACGCAGGAAAAGATCAGGACCACTCACGAACAATTATAACAGCGGTGTCCCTTACTGTTGTCTCAATCATGCTTTTTTGTTTCGGCTTCTATTACTGGAAGAGAAAAAAGAGCAACAGTTACAAGGCCATTCTGAAGAAAAATTGTATGTATGCTATTTTTTCTCAGAAAAAAGAAAGAAAAAAAGACGAGTCAGTCGACTGTGAGAAAAACTATATTATTGCGGTGTACTTACCTTAAAATGTACATATGTTTATAGTCGGAGCTGAGGGAGCCACATTAGAGTCATTGCAATTCAATTTGGCAACAATTGAAGCTGCAACAGATAAGTTCTCACTTGAAAATAGAATAGGCAAAGGTGGATTTGGAGAAGTCTACATGGTAAATTGATTATGCGATCAAACATGTCTATTTATGTATATTGTTGATTGTACATAAAGAGAGCGTCTACTATATTATGAAAATAGATTGTCAGCCCCTGATTATCTAACTATATTATGATTTCAGGGCATTCTTCCCGATGGTAGCAAAATAGCTGTAAAGAGATTGTCAGAAAAATCAAGTCAGGGCTTATTAGAGTTCAAGAATGAGGTTTTACTAATTGCCAAACTTCAACACAGAAACTTGGTTGCATTATTAGGATTTTGCTTGAAAGATCAAGAGAAAATACTTGTCTATGAATACGTTCCTAACAAGAGCCTCGATTATTTTTTATTTGGTTCGTCCCTTCTGATCAAACTGTTCTTACCATTTTTCAATTTTCCATTCATGTATGATCCATTCTTTTATTACTCTAAGGTGAATATATATTTATTGTATAATCTGTAATTTGATTTTAGACATAAATTATACATCGCGGTTCAATTGTATGCTCACAAAATAATTTAATTATTTATAGGTTCACAAAAGTCAAGAGTGTTAAATTGGCCAGAGCGTTACAAAATTATAGGAGGAATTGCTCGAGGAGTTCTTTATCTTCATGAATACTCACGCATTAAAATAATACATCGAGATCTCAAACCTAGCAATATTTTGTTAGATGATGAGATGAATCCAAAAATTTCTGATTTTGGAATGGCGAGAATTGTTGGCATTAATGAAACTAGGGGAAACACGAATAGAATTGTTGGAACATTGTAAGTTCTCTATCTCTATGGCCTCATCTCTCTTTCGCTATATGTATATGTGTGTGCTTATGTATGTATCTTAGCTTTTTATGTATATTTTGCATGTGCACTTTAATTTTCTATTGAATCTAAATATTGATGTAAGACTTTGCTCAAATTATGTGGTGCTAAAATTCCAACATACATTGATACATTTATGTGTGATTTTTTTTTTTGGTAGGGGTTATATGTCTCCAGAATATATCAAGTTTGGACTATTTTCTGAGAAATCAGATATTTACAGCTTTGGAGTCATTGTTTTAGAAATTATAAGTGGAAAGAATATATCTTCTCAATGTGAATCACATGAATCTCAATATGCTGGTGGACTCTTAAGCGATGTAAGTATAGTAAACTTTTAGTGTTTCTCAAATGATCATCTCAAACCGGTCATTGTCATTGTCATCATAAGCATCAAACAACCATTGGAGCTTATGTTAACAAAAATCTATAATCAAATTAGTAGCATGCCCTATTTTAAACTAATGATTTAACATAATGGCAGGCCTGGAAGCATTGGAGGGATGACAATTTGATAGCAATATTGGATTCGAATCTGACAGAAGTTGGATCACACAGTGAAATAATCAAATGCATGCATATTGGCTTGCTGTGTGTTCAAGGAAATCCAGGAGTTAGGCCTTCCATGAACAAAGTTGTTCAATATCTGAGTAATGATTCAGTTCAATTGCCAATTCCTCAAGAGCCAGCATTCTTCATCCATAGTCAAATGGAACCAGCGGAAACCAGTAGGTCAATGGAGGCTCAACTTGCCAACCATAATCAATATTCCATCAATGAAATGTCGGAGAATATAATATCTCCTCGCTAGATCGCAGGAGACTTCAACTTTTGTTTTTCTCTACTTGAGAATTGAAGGTTTAGAATTTTTTCTCTTATTGCATAACAAGCGTGGTTTTATTTTTAAAACATGCTTGCAATAACAATTTGATTATTTGAGACTTGGTTTGCTTTCTGGCCCATTTTTCCTTTGTCTGCCGTCCATTAAGAGGTCGTCACTCTCCGACCTTCTTTCAACTAAAGGGATTAACATTTGCTTCAATTGGATCCATTAGCAGGCTTCAACCACCCAACAAAACAATACAAACTCTGAAAGCTAAAGTTGATGAATTAGGGGCAAAATATTAACAATTAATCATAAATCTATAATTTTAGTACAAGTATCAACTACGCATATTTTCCTATCATAAATACTTTTAAATATACATTAATTCACCAAAAAGTATGATAACTAAAGGAAAACATGATGAAATAACATGAATTTCACAAGGTTATATAGCAAAGGCTCTATCTTTGTATGTGGCAAGACTTTAATCTTGTAGATACCAAACTGAGCAATTGAAGTTTAGGAAAAAGAATAAATAAAAGCCTTGTCCTTGGGAGTCAAAGAATTCACTCGACAACACTTCATTTCAGAGCATGGTTCTTTACACTTCCAAATCAGTTGGTAAGCTCCAGATTTGACAATGACATAAAAAAGCATGATTCTGTGGAACTGACAACTAAATTGAATCATCACTGAGATCTATATAAAATAAAACAATTCTTGTTGAAACTAATTTCAATACTCATTATCGTGATGAATACTATAATGTTCATCAAATCTTAACTATTCAAATTTAATATAAATGGTTAAGATTTAATTTTTTATATCTTTGTTTTTAAAAAATGTCTTCCTTTAATAGATAGATAATTCAAAATAAATGTAATTTTTCAACTATAATTTTTTTAAACAATAATTTCTTTATTTAAAAATTATTAATTAAAAATTTTAAATCTAGACCATTAAAACTATATCTGAATGGTAGATTTTATTGTAACGATGAGTATCTTGATGTTCACCACTGTGATGAGTGCCAAGACTGGTTCTAATTGTAACCGTGCACAAAGGCTTGATTTGCATCTGGATTTTCTTGAATAGAAAACAACTTGATGCAAAAGGATGCACTTAATCACTTCATTACATTATCTGAATTCATTATTTATGCTTGAATCTAATATCTCTATCAGCTTTATCATACCCCCATTGATTACAAGTTTGTAACAATTAAGTAAAACAAATTATTATAATAATCTCCCTTTCATTATTAATTGCCATATATGTTGAATCTCCAGAATATTACCCGTACATTGCATATTTTGAAGACATATAAACACTGAAAAAGAAAAATATTAATAACAACATTTTTATACAATACATAATAAGAACATTAATTGAGACATTCAATGATTAGTTGAGATGTAAATTATTGAATCTCTTCTTAGGAACACTTATTTTTCTTCATTTAATTCAACTATATCAAAATAGACGTAGAGCTTAAAGAGAAAAGATTTAGAACTTACTATGTCCCAACTATTTTATTTGTACTTCCTTTATTTGTGTTGATAGCAACCATTTTAGCTAAGCCAACATATGATATTTTTGGATTCACTTGATCATCTAATAAAATATTGCTTGGTTTGATATCATGATGCATAATTTTAAGGCAGGAATATTCATTGATATAAAAAAATTTCTTGAGCAACTCCTGCAATGATTTTACAACGCTCTACCCAATTTAGTGCTTTGCCTTTTTGGAAACCTTTACATTAATTGTTGCGAGTGATTATATATATAGAGACAAAATAAAGGTAATCTAATTATAGACAATTAACTCCAACATACATCAGATAGCGTGAACAACAAGTTTCAGTAAGAGTTAAAGAAGGTATAGATTGTCAAAACAAATAAAAAGTAGTCAACGTTCCGAACATATTCATAAACAAGGATTTTCTCTTGTTCTTCTATGCAAAATCCAAGCAAGGCCACCAAGTTTATGCGCTGAAGTTTGGCAATCAATAAAACCTCGTTCTTGAATTCTTCTCCACCTTGACCAGAATTTTTTGAAAGTCTCTTGACGGCTATTTCTTGACCATTTGAAAGAAACCCTAGAACCATAGATGATTAGATTGAAAGTTAAGAAACATATATAAATCTGTTCGTGTGTGTCTATGTGTAACATTTATACTGATGACGTGTGTTACCTTGTAAACTTGTCCAAATCCACCTTGGCCTAAACATTTTTCATGAAAAAACTTATTTGTTGCAGCTTCAATAGTGGCCAAACCAAATTGTAGAGGCTCTAAATTATGGCTTTCATTTCCAACTAGACACAGAAAATAGTAAAGGATGCTGAAAGCAATAAAAGCATCGATACAAAAGCTCTTTAGACAAGCCGACTTTTATGGATAAATAAAAATTTGTCCGAGAACAAAAATTACTTACAGTATTTTTGTCTGAGAAAAATGTTGCGTCTCTTCTTGATTAGATTCTTTGAGAGATAGTAGGCGACACAAAAACAAAATTCCCAGACACCAACAGAAGAAACCACAACTACCATAATAGTCCCTGTTGACTGACCTTTCCCTTTTACTGCGAAAAGTCAAAAACATCATATACTTCGACGTCTCAATGTAATGACATCATATGATAATTGACTGTATCCCGTAAGACCAGGGGATCATATTCACATTCTGATTAGATTCAATTTTCCTCAGCTGCCATATTATTTTTTGGAAATTTATTTTGATGCCAAAATCAGCATAATCTTTTTCTTTAATAGATGTACCCAGATATGCATTTTAAAATAAAAATCAGAAAAGCGTATTTGGTACTCAGCAAACAAAAAAATGTTTAAGTTGAATTTTACCTTGAGGATCTGAAGAACTTGTTGGAGGAGAAAGTGCAGGCGGTGGAGGCGCCGTCGCTTCTGGCTGATCATCAGACTTATAAAAAGGATATAACTCATAGCGAACGTTGCAACTCATAGAACTCTTCCTCCTTGATTTCCCAAACAGCACCATGTTGAAAGGTCTCCAATCACAGCACTCAGACAAATTCTGCAATCTTGGGATGATAGGTCCTGCGTGCACCGAAGTAGAGAATACGTTGCTCCGAGCCCAGATATGCTTGCTTCCCTTGTGGCATATTTCTTAGTGCGGTTAGCTGCTTCATGGTTAAGCGTGCTCAACAATATCAGCAAGAAGCTCAGCTGGGACACTTCGCCGGTATTCAAGAGGCGCAGTGTAGGCCTTGTTTCGACGGTGGAGAACAAGGGATGGTTCGAATAGCGAACCATGCACTCGTCGTACCAGATTATTGCCTCCTTCGAAGTTCTGCACTCGGAAGATAATCTTTGGGTGGCGGTAAAGACGTATTGTTTCAGCTTTGCTTTTATTTATTCTTTCCCACCACCCTTTGCTTCTTCACTTTTCCATCGTTTCTGTAAAATTTTCCAATTTCAGTTGAAAAATGAACCTCAAAAGGGGTGGTGCACGGATTCTCTTTAGAGACAGCAAGGTCATTTACTTTGTAAACTCTTGTTTATTTAATGTCATTTTGTCTTGTTCCCAAAAAAAAAAAAACACCAAAGTCATTTTACGCTATTTGTGCTTTAAGCTTTTGAAAAAAATTAAAATTAAAAGTTTGTTTCTGACTTAATTGTTTAAACTTTAAAGATCTCGTTCATTTAATTTTTTTTTAAGATATGTGTTCAATAATTTATATTTATAGTCCCCACGGATTAACATATCATTCATTCCTCTAGATAAATACATAAATTTCTAATTAAATAAAAAATTTTAAGCAGTTGTACAGACGAAATCTCGGATGCTCACATACGGACATACGCATAAGATTTCCCAGCAGCTCAAAATTAAATTTTGTGTATTGCAATTATTATTATCTGAAAACAGATATTACTACAAATGGTTTTAAATTAGTAAACGTTATATGTTACTGTTTATGACGATAATTTCATATCAGACATATATTTGAGTAACCTTGCTCGTTAAATAAAATACTCTATTAATTTGTTCTCTGTAGTTATAAATTAGTCGGCGGTTATATTTGTTATTATGTTTCAATTTACACCTCGTATGTACTCCATGACAGATGCCATGGAGAAACTTAAAAGCAGAGCTGCAGGATGGATGGTGATACTGACGTCATTCCTATTCATCTTGGTAGTGCAAGTCTACACAGCCAGTTTAACTTCAATGTTAACACACGAAAAGATGAAAGTGCCTTCATTTGAGAACGAAAAAGAGCTTATTAAGAATAGCAATCTGCATGTGGGATATCAAGATGGGTCGTGGGTGAGAGGGCTTTTGATTGAACAAATAGGATTCAAGCCTGAGCAGTTAAGGCCCTTAGGACATCGTGAAGAGTACAATAAAGCATTGTCAAGTGGAACTATAGCTGCTATCTTTGATGAAACTCCTTATCTCACGATCTTCCTCTCCAAATACAAGTCTCAGTTCATGATGACAGGACCACTCTACAAAATCGGTGGATTTGCCTTTGTAAGTCTACTTACTCCGCTCTTCTTGATTACTACAAGGTAAAGTTAACCAATTAATTTCATGTTTTCAAGGTAATTTACATAAAAATGTGAGTATCATCAAAATTAATGACCCCACAATAAAATGATGTTTAAGAATTGAAGCATGTGACCAACTTATTACCATTAAGGAAGGACATGAGATTAGAAAACTTTAATTATCACATTTTCGCCCTACACTTAATTAAGACTAAGTAGGGCTTTAATTTAAAACTTTGACATATAATTAGGATGGGAGGGACTACCCCCAAATTATATGATTAAGATTTTTATTGCAGCTATTTAGAATCCACATGTGAATTGAATTCGAATATTGTCATTGTCAAGTCTCAAAAAAAAAAAAAAGGAGCACCTTCAATATATATATTTATATATATATATATATTTTTATATCCATATATAAGGCTTGTGCAGTATAACTTTACCTAGTGGCTATCAAATTAAATCATTTGCTAATCAATCCATAAAGCATCATATGCTACTGGTTGAGCTATATATAGAACTTTAATGAGATGCCATGTATTTATTGTTTTTTTTTTCCCAGGCATTCCCAAAGAAATCTAGCCTGGTCTCGCATTTTTCGGATGCAATCTTAAAAGTGATTCAAGATGTGGAGTCATATCGGATTCTAATGGCTAAGAGCTCTTTACCCACCTCCATTGAAGATTTGGAATTTGACGACCAAAGTGATATAGAGACGTCAGGTTTGAGCATCGGAGGCATTTACATTGTCCTATCATCCTTTGTGGGCCTCTTTTTATTCCTTTCCATTATAAATCTATATTATAAATCCATTAGTGATTAAACGGTATCTGAATCCATCGTCCATGATTAGATGGTTGCGTAATAAGAAGCAGCATTTCAAGTTAGCTAAAGCTTGATTATAGTAGGAGTTACCAGCTAGTTAATCAGTAGCTGCTTATTAAACGCGTGATACAAGTGTATATAAAGGTCCTTGCTATCTTATCTACTATTCTGTATAATAATTTGTATTTTTTTAATTTTATGGCCAACTAGAAACATGTGTTAACTATCAATAAAAAACATGTCAATGGACTTGACATATTCAGTGTAACTTGTAATTTCAAGTAGTTGATGCCTATCTTTTTAAATAACTAAAAAGAAATGCCTCTTATAAATAACAATATGCTACCATGTTATCTCCTAAGTTATATATATATATATATATATATATATATATATTTAATATAACTATTTGATTAGGTGATATTTCAGTATTGTCCAGCCCGACTAGAAGTGGTTCTCTTATGGACTTACGGTGACGTGATGTTCAAGTGGTCAAAACTCTTTTCACTAAAACTAGTGCCTGTTGATGTGTGCATGCCAAAATGGACTACAATCAGTACTTGATGAATTGCACAGAACTGACAAGTGCTGCCTTTTTAAGTCGTAGGGATAATATTGTAGTATTCTAAAAAATTAGAAGTCAATTAATGTTACATTATTTAATAAATGGTTAATATAATTTTTAATCTCTTAAATTTGAATTTATTTTGGTTTCAGTTTCTAAAATTTAATCCATCTTACAACATTAGTCCTCAAAAGTGTAATAATATTAAAATATACTAAAATGTTATAAACAACATCAAAGTGGTGACACAGACTCACTAAATGGCACCTAACTAGTTGAATCTTGTATAGATAATAGAAGGAGGGAAAAAAAGAGCAGATCCTCAAAACTTGGCCTTTTAACCTCCTGTTTTTTTTTTCTCACTATTCATTTTCAAAAACTATTCACTATGCTATACTTTGTTATTCACATAAAAATCTAGTTAGGTGTTATCTAGTAAGTCTACATTACTACTTTTAATATCATTGATCACATTTTAACAGATTTTAACATTGTTACACATTCAGGAACTAACATTTTAAGACACTAAATGCTAGAGACTAAAATCATAAATTTAAAATTTGAAAGATTAAAACTAAAATAGGCTCAAATTTTAGAAATAAAAATTATATTAACTTATTTAATAAATACCAAGGTAGCCCCCCACAGGATGCTTTCACTTCCGTCCCATCAATTATCCCATTTCCTTCCCATATTAATTCACCATAAGCATATGCAATATGATCCACTTATTCTAAAATCACTCCACATTTCATTACTTTTTTTTTTTTGGCCAGACCACATTTCATTACTTGATACATTATGAAAATGTACCATCAACACATCATCGTTGCTCACAAATCGTCTCCACTCAACTTAGCATTATTGACAAATACACCAACTTCCACAGCGCATGCTTTGACTATTCAACACTAACTGAACATAAGAATCACTGTTGGAATTAAAAGTTAAGAATAACGTCATCATGCAACAAAAATTTCAAACCTCTAACTTCAATTATTCTGCCATCCTCTCTTTCTTTATATGTACGACATATATCTTGGCCCCCTCTCCATGTCAATTCTTCAGTAGAAATAAATGGGCTCGTTCCTCGAAAATAAGAAAGGATGCTCTGAAGAAAGCAAAGTGGTGAAGAAAGCAAAGTGGTCAGGTGTAAAGCACGGCTAAGGACCTGTTTGGTTTGAGGAAAGGATAGGGGAGGAAGGGGAGGGTGGGGTAGGAAAGAAAAGAAGAGGTTTCATTCTCACCTTATTTGGTTTGATTAAAAAAAAAGAGAGAGAGAAATATTTAATGATCCTTTGTTTGGTTCAAGAAGAGGAGGAGAGGAATAGTAAAAATCAATTTACCATTTTATCCTTACATATTAGTTTATATTATATTATATAAATTAATTTACATCTCAATTTAAATCATATAATTTAATAAAAATTCAGTCTTATCATGTCAATATGTGCATTAAAAAATTGGTACAATATTTTTTAATTCTAATTAATATAATAATATATTTGAAATAATCAAATTAACAAATTTTATATGCTCTAAAAAAATTAAAATTTTATTCTCTTTAGGCTATGCTTTTTTTCAGCTTTAAAATATATTTAATAAATAATATATTTATAAAAAATCATTAATTTTTTATTTAAATAATTTTTATTTTTATAATAATTTATATTAATTTTATTATAATATATTTTTTATTATAATAATTTATATTTTTTATTTAAAATAAATATTATGATAACATATTTTATGGGTGGTTATGGAATATCAAAAAATTATAAGGATATAATGGTCCAAAAATTCAGTTCCCTTCTAAAAACCCTCAATTTGGAGGGGAGCTAAAATGGAGAGAAGGAGGGGAGGGAAAGGAACATTTTAACTCCCCTTCCCTCTAAAATTTTTAATCAAATAAGGAGAGGGGTTTATTTGCTCTCCCCTCTCGTCTTCCCTCCGCTCTTTCAACCAAACACACTCTAGGAGACAAAGAAGCACGCCTTTGGAATGCCAGCTATGGCCCAAGCCTTTGTCTCCCCTCTTCCATTTCTTATCTTGTTCCGCTTTTGCCTTTTAACTTATTCTCCCATTTTCTTCACTCTTCCTCTCCTTCTTCCACACGTGTCCCTAGCAGAAACCGCTCGTTTTCGTAACAACCATCATATTAACGAGTTCCCATCATTCCATTTTTAAAGATAGTTAAAGCATATCACCTGGCTATTAAAGGGAAATGACTCGTAGCCATAAATTTAGGTTTTAAATACAAATCACTTATTGTATTTTTTAATTCATATTTTTAATTTTATTTTTATTTAATTTTTATTGAAAAGAGAAAAAACAATGAAAAGATATGAGAATAATTTATAAATATAAATTTTTAATAAAAATGAAAATAATTTTTTTGAATTTAATCCATTTATTATTATATGAAAATGTCTTACAAGTCACTATATTGAACAAGTCCTACAATACTATGGCTTTAATTGAGAGTATATGTGGATGAAATGAGAAACCAAATTTCATGCATCACGTATATTTTAATATTTCCATTGAATTGGTGTTTTGGAAAATTTTGACCTATAACACAAGATGTAGGAATTATTTCAACTCTGATGTTTACAATTTCACTCCCTCCTGGCTCCTGTACTTCTATTACAAAATGCAGATTCTGTACTTTATATAAAATTTAAGAAATAGCTGGCAAAAAAATTTAAGAAATAAGCTATAAGTAGTGAAATATTTAAACAAAATGACTAATATATCGATAATGTTGATAAATGTTGATTATTAGATAAGAAGTTCACCAGATTCCGTAGGATTTTTCATAAGTAAAAATGTAAACTTCTTGATGCAAATTTTAGGAAAATTAATTCATATATTTTCCCAGTTTTTAATTAGAATCTTAGTGTTTTTTTTTTATTGGGTCCATATAATTATTCAATTATAGATATTAGTTTATATACTCATAATTTACTAATTTGTAAAAGAAACTGTACGTGTTAGCAGCTACAACGATCGGACTCACTTATTAGGATACACGTGAATGAAATTTGCCATGTGAATATAAATAAAATCCACTTCGCCCAGTCAGAAACAATGAAGGCTCTATCTTCAATGATAGTAAGAATTGAGGAGAGAGTGCGAGGAGAGAAGTAAAGGTAATAGCAGAAAACTGCAGAAATGGAGAAAAGGCCAAGAGATTGTCTCTTATTTGTGGGCTTACTGTGCCTGATTGCCCTAGCTGAGTCTGCAACTGTGAGAACAATACCAGTAGGAGTGATTCTGGATTTGAGTTCATCACTTGGTCCCACGGTTCTTAATTGCATCAACATCGGACTCCATGATTTCTATTCCTCGGAGTATTCCTATGGAACAAAGCTCCAACTTCATTTCAGGAATTCCCAAGGCGATCTCCTCACTGCAGCTTCTGCAGGTAATCCTAACTGTCAAGTATTACTGATGTTTATGTCCCAAAAAGAAAAAGGAAACAATCAAGTTTTTTTTTCCCCCATTTCTTTTTAATGTCTGTCAAATTAGTAGAAGTGCGAGCTTTGCTCTTCCACCGTGTTTCTCTTTGTTGATGACATGGAAATAGAATTCCTAATCCGCCGGCCCCTCTGTGGCTTAGAAGTTACTAGCTTCGTTTCTTATATAAGAACTAGTTGGTTAATTTAAGTAAATTAAAAAAAAATTTGTTGAATTGGTTAGTTGTAATAAATAGGTGTTGTCTTTCTTAAAATACCCTTACTAATCATGTATATTACTTTGAACTACTATTTATGAAACATTTAACATGTGCAATTACTATAAAGACTACATTAAGAAAAATAAATAAATATAAAGACAACTAGACTAGGATTTTATATTTAGAACTAAATTAAAAATCAAACTAGTTCTTATATTAAGGATATGAAGTACTAATACTTCTTATGTTTTTTTTTTCTTTTTAATAACCGGTATCCAAAAACATAGGCCAATATTTGTAGATTCAGGTTAAAACTCTCCCTACATAATTCTTTTAGGCAAATTATATATATAACCTCCTAATTTTTAGGTTGTATGTAGGTGGGTATACGTCTAAAATTTTACAATAGACCCTCGAACTTTTGTATTAAAGCAAATAAAGCTGTGCTGCTGTTAGTTTAGTTTGTCCTTTGTTTCTCTAAACTAAAGTAATTTCATTAAAAAAATTTAAATGTATGTGACTTAAGATTAGAATTGTCAAGGACACACGACTTCAAATTTGAAGAGGCTATTTACATAAGAAATTAAATTGGTTATTTGGTCAATATAACATACTCCGAGAAATAGGTCATAGGATTTTTTGTATACGGGTTAAAGTTTCAAAAAAAATTTATTATTGTTTAACTATATTTGTTTTATATATTTGTAAAATTCGAACTCAAATATTACTACCTCCAGTTCTAATTACAAGATCTCGTTTGTAAACTATAAACAAGGTCTTATAATTAAGACTGAAAGTTATATTTAGCTAGATATGTTTATTGAATTTCTTATTAATCAACTCAACTGTCATTGAGTCCAAAAAAAAAAAACTCAACTGTCATGAGTAGCCTCTTGGTCTCTCAACATCTTTTCTTCGCATCTGCCCGGCTTTTATTTACGAAGTATTGGCGAATTAAACGAGCTAAAGCTTCTTGTTTTTTTTTTTCAATTTAAAACTAAAATATCACCCTCTCTTGATTGTACTACCTCTGGTACTTAATATAAAATTTAGTTAATTAAGTTGGGGAGATTATAAAAGTTAGTTAAATTAGTTATTTGTAATAAATAGATGTTGTTTTTCTTAAAATACCCTTATTAATTATGTGTGTTTAAATTACCCATTGATAGTAACTCCTTAATATATGCAACTACTATATGGATTACTTGAGGGCAAAATCGGTGAATACTAGAGACAAAATAGATTAAGATCTTATATTTAAGACCCAATTAAATATCAAATTAGTTTCTATATTAAATACCAGAGGTAATACAACAATAAATGAATGCAAATACATATCGTGCACAAGAGCTATTTTGCAGAGGTCCCTCGCCCAAATTTTAGCTAATAACTCAACACTCTTCCTCTGTTGTGTGTGATAAACAATACTCCTCTAGTACTATTCATTCACATTATTAAATTTTTGACATAAATATACTATTTCTGGTCCTTAATATAGGAGCTAGTTAACTAATTGAGTAGATTAATAAAATTTATTGAGTTAGTTGCTTATGTCTTTCCTAAAATATCCCTGCTAATCATATGTATTACCTTGAACTATCATTTAATGAAACATTTAACATGTGCAATTTCTACAAGGAATACATGAGAAAAAATGGATAAATATGAAAAACAAAGTAGATTGAAATCTTATATTTAGAACCAATTAAAAAATTAAACTAGCTCTTATATCAAGGACCGGAGGTAGTACTATTTTGTACTTCATTTATTATAATATAAATTGTTATTTTCTTGAAAAGTGTATATATTAGATAGAAGTGAAGTTAAAAAATTATTATATTTTTGCCCCCTCGTTCCCCATTCTCCATCTATTCTGACTCCACTAGAAGCCATTGCTTTCAGTTCGAAGCTATAGCAGCCATTACCAGAGCTTATAATTGGCAGTCTGTGGTCCCCATTCATGAAGAGCCAGACTTCGGCAACGACCTCATCCCATGTCTCACTTTTGCCTTACAAGAAATGGACACTCTAGTGCCCAACGTAATTGCCATTCGTCGAGATTCCAATGGTTCTCAAATCGCCGGCGAGCTCAACAAGATAAATCCCGAACGAACATATGTGTTTCTTGCTCATATGACGGTGGAGCTTTGGTCAAGACTTGTGAAACATGCAAAAGATAAAGGGATGATGAGTAAAGGACACGCTTGGATACTTACACAAGGCTTATCTTCAGTGATAGATCCCGAAGCTAAAGATATAAAAGTGAAAGGCTACATGGATGGTGCTTTGGGTGTGAGGCCATCAGTGGCTGTGAATACATCACTGAATGAATCCATCATAGCTAAGCGCTTTTCCTTAGCGAGAACGTTAAAGTTTAAGTACAATAAAACTCTTTCTCTATCTGGCATGTGGGCTTACGACACTATCACAGCATTGGCCAATGCGGTAGAGAAGGCCAGCTTAGGCGATTCTACTTTAGGATATGGGAATGAAAGCAGAGCTGATCTTGAAGATAGAGGAATGCGCAACGAAACAGGACCAGAACTTCACAGCAAAATTCTGGCTACTAATTTCGTAGGCCTGTCAGGGAATTTCAGTTTGTGGCAAGGACAACTAGAACCATCAAAAGTTGTGGTATACAATATTGTGGAAGGCCTAAAAGAAAGGATCATTGGATATTGGACACCTGAAATAGGACTTTTTCAAAATTACAGTGCAGATGGTGAACCAGCTGGTAAATACAAATGGCCGGGTAACACAACGGAGAGACTACCAAAGTTGAAAATTGGGGTCCCAAAGACGCAGTTTACTCAATTTGTTGATGTTAACGGGAGTGTAGAAGGGCAGAATGTATCAACTTCTGGCTTGGCTGTTGATGTATTTGAAAGAGTGGTTCATGTTTTGCGATTTCCTCGTGAGTTCGTGCCTGTGAGAAATGGAGAGCTAACTCCCTCCAGCTATGATGATCTTCTCTGCCATATCACTGACAAGGCAAGTTTTCATTCATCTCTGTTGCTTTCGATCAATTGTTTTGCTCTTATCAGATTTTCTGTTTCTCAGTTTCTAATAAAGGAAAGTCAGGCACGTATCTGTATAGTTTCACTGATGATTATATTCCGCCCAATGATTAAAGAACCGGACCGGACTGGACGGTCGGACGGTTAAAACCGTCACCCGGACTCGTTAACGGCTCGGTTTGGACCAAAAAACCGTTCACATAGTTGAGCCGGATTGGACCGGAGTTGAGCCGTTATTAAGCCGGAAACCGGAGTTGGATCGGGAACCGGAACGGTTTTCAAAAACCGGACGGTTTTTTAGCCTGACTGAAAAATACTAAAAATTTAAAAAAATAGAAGAAAAATAAAAAAATTGATCCCCTTAAATATCCTAATATATTTTTAGACTATTTATAACCATATAGTATTATTTCATTGAAAATTTCATATATTGTGGTGTTAAAATTGTGAGTCGCTAATCTTTTTGTTTTGATATTTGGTCTATCTTTTAAAAAAATATTTTGATTTGAATGAATTGATAATTTGTAATATCATTAAATTTTAAACATACATAAATTTAAATATATAAGGTTTTAGTCCAGTTTCAATGATTTCATTATAAGTTTAGATTATTTAAATGCATTTCTAAATTATTTAATAATTTGATATTTTTCATATATACTAATTATATGTATATAATATTGTTTTAAATTAATTATTGCATCACCGGTCTGACCAAACGGTTCGACCGATCCGACCGATTGAACCATGACCCGTTGATCTTTCCGGTTCGACTTCCGGTCCGGCTTTTAAAAAACATTGATTCCGCCTGAAGCTTGGATACACTCAAGAACATCCCAGGATATGCTTAGGGACGGAACTAGAAAATATTGATAAGGGGGTCCAAAGGTACAAATGAAAATCATAATGGGTGGCACGCAGTGTTGGATTTTTTTTTTTTTCCTTTCAGAAATTAGTCTGATCTACATTTATAATCATGTGGATTGCAAATGAAGCAAAAAATTTAGGTGGGGTATGCGGCTACATATAACATAGGTCTGTCCCTGAATATGCTTATGATTGAGAGGTATTAATTATGCTGATAAATCTTTCCACTTGATAACTGATATCATCAGTACTGAGCAGTGAGCATGCTGGCCACAAAAACCCACAATTTATATATATGCAGGGATTCATTTCCAACACTTAATCAGTGTATGAAAATATTGCAGAATCTTGATGTTATAATTGGAGACATCACAGTTCTAGCGAGTCACACAGATTGTGTTGATTTCACAATGCCGTATTTGGATTCAAGCGTGTCCATGATGGTAAAGGTGAGGTCCGACTCCGAAAGCTGGTGGATCCTCTTCAGACCTTTTGATTTGTTAGTTTGGTTAATTCTTGCTGCGATTCTTGTGGTTGCAACTGTTATTGTAATCACATGGGAAAAAAAAGCGGCAGAGAAAGATGGAGAAAGCAAATACAAGGAATATGTCCGTAATCCCTTCCTTATTTACATGACCGGTGAGTTATCTTTTGTTGTACATAAATATAGGGATTAGATAAAAGGTTCAATCTCAATCAACTTTGCCTTCCAAATTTATAATGTTTTACTCACAATATCTTTATTGACTACACATATTAAAGGATTCGAATCAATGGATAATTTTAATGCACATAATTAAAGAGGATAATTAAAAGTAAAAAAAAGACACATTTATTGTGAATAACTAATTTAACTAATTTTACTGTCACTATCAAATTAGTTATATAGCTCTTATATTAAGAACTACATGTAGTATTAGTTTTATACTACCTCCGGTATTAAATATAAGAGCTAGTTAAATAATTTGAATAGATTAAGAAAATAAGATAAGTTAGTTATTTGTAATAAATATCTGTTGTTTTTTCTAAAAAAATCCTTATTAACTAAGTATATTAGCTAGAAATATTATCATTAGAAAGACTATATTAAAAATAAATAAATAAATATGTGAGACAAAGTGGATTAGGGTCTTATATTTAAGATCAAAATAAAAGTCAAACGAGGTCTTATATTAAGGATCAGAGCAGTATATATTATTTTGTTGGTTCAGTGGCTTTGAGAAGCTTTTTATGTTTTTATTTATGAATGATGATTTTATAAAATCTATGAAGTAATTAATGTTTTTCTAATAGTGGTCTTGGTGTAGAACTATGATGGAGAGAGAGATTGAGAAACAGGATCAAGATTTCAAGATTTTTTTAAAAAATAAATTTATGTGCATCCGTTAAAACTTAAAAGTAACTGATAATTTGGTAGAGGCAGTAGTTGTACGATATATCAACTTGTTTCCTCGTACTCTGTTTGACACTGTATTATCAACGTTTTGTGTGTGTGATGATTGCAGATGTTGAGTTTTTGAAAAATGGGAATTCTAAACGGTTGGTAATAGTGGTCATGTTTCTATTGGGCATAGCAGTGCAAGTTTACACAGCAAATTTAACATCACTTTTAACAGAGAGGACAACGGCAAAACCTTCTCCATGGAGGGACATGCAAGAGATCAGAAGGAACAATCAGTCCGTGGGATACCAAAACAATTCCTGGGTGAAAGAGCTTCTGATTCACCAAATAGGATTCGATCCAACTCGGTTAAAGGCTTTAGAAAGTCCCGAACAGTACAAGGAAGCATTATCAAACGAAGACAAAGAAAAAGGCATTGTTGCTATTTTTTATGAAACTCCTTATCTCATGCTTATGCTTTCCCAATGCCCTTCTTGCAAGATGACAGGACCAATCTACAAAACTGCTGGATTTGCTTTTGTGAGTACTGTTCTTCTGTCCTCCCCAACATATATATGGCCTGTCAAACTTGGATGATGTACGATGTTGTATTTTCAGGCGTTCCCAAAGAATTCCACCTTGGTCTCGAAGTTTTCAGCTGCAATATTAAAAGTGACTCAAAATGTGGTGATGTTTGGTGACATGATGAAGAGCATATCCTTAAACACTACTATTGACCAATCCGAATTCAAAAGTGGTGTGGAGACACGAAGTTTGACAATAGAAGACTTCGGAGCCCTTTTCCCGGTAGCATGTGTTTTAGCTGTCTTCTTCGGCCTTTCAATTCTGAAACCTCAATGGCTGCAAAAGAAATGGATTTCTTGTTGGACAGTGCGCGGCGGAGGAGTTATATATTGAGTAGCCAGCTGAAAACATCTGTTAAAACCATCATGTTACGCATGTGTACTTACTGTGAATAGTCCGAGTGATGAGAATAAGGTGATGAAACACTAAAACTGAAGACCTTTTGATTGTGACTGGGGTAAAACAAAAATGAAATCCTTGCCCATCCTATCTCTCTTCTCTTCAGTCAGCTTATTATCATTTGAAATTGCCTGCAATTATACTATTGCATAGAGGAAGGTAAAGAACACAATTTAGCCTTTTGACATAGGAATTTGGAATTTCTGGCGCAACAATTCCAGATGTCATCCCACCAAAAAAACAAGACTACAATGTTTTATTAAAGGGAATGAGATTTACTCTTTTGTACATTGGAAAGATAAACTTCTTTTTCGGGACAAAGAAACGTAAGTTCATGTCTTGGCCCTTCATAAGTTTGCCAGGAAACAGCATCCTCAAATAAACATTCCAAGCCTATACATACCCTTATCCTGAAAGAAGTAGCCCTTGGGGTTCCATAAAATGGGGCAACAAATGCAGAATTCCTCACCTGATCTCCAGAGCCTTCAAAAAGCTTCCAATCTAGAAAAACATACTGCGATGAACCATCATCATTCATGGTCATGCTCAGCCACAATCTGTTATCATTGGTGATATTGTGGAGGGTGATATCACACTGAATGCCTACTGGTAGTCCCGAAACGAAAGGAAGAGGGTGTTCAGAGTCACTACTGAGAATACTTAGCTCCGCTCGTACATGTCTAATTGTTCCACTACATACGAACTGCTTCAGGGAGAATGACTCGAGACACTTGTAAAACTCCAAATGACTCTGGGAAGCGTCATTTATGGAAGTGCCACCTTCAGATAACAATTTCCTGAGTTCAATTATGAATGTGGATGGCATGACAGAGCGTTCTTTGAGGAGAAATTCTACGTGCGAAAATATTGCAGTCAACCTCTTTGATGTAGGAATTCGACAGCATACGTCAACTTTACACAGCCTAAGAACACAAGTGACCAACATTAGCTCCAAGACATTCAATTCCTCCTGCGGAGAAAACCCTATGAACCGATATCTGAATTCTTTAACTCTCCTATCAAGCTTTGCCAGTTCAAAGTCTATTGCTCCCATTGCACGAGAACATATCAATTTCTCTTGGAAGAAATTTCCCCAAATTTTTGCAAGGCCCTTTATTATTCGAAGATATTGCAAAGTAAATGCTAAAGCATCAGCAGATTCCATAGTATCAAATCTCATAGTTGCCAGATCTTCCTTCCCACTCCTACATTGTCAACACAACGCTTAAAAAGAAAATCAAAATAATATTTCACATGCATGCATGTGCTTAATGATCAAAACATATCAAATGTCATGTAGCAATAGCAAATAAGCTCGCAGGACAAACATCTTCAATTCAGGCCCCCAAACAGATGGTGTTCCCCATGAACTAGCCACGTTCTGAGTGTAAGATGAGCATGTGAATCTAAATACTCACACAAAATTATGTGCCAATGAATAGAACTGTGACAGCGAATCACTACAAAATTCTGCTATAATTTACAGCCACTATATACATACAGATATATCAGCAAATCTCCACATAAATTACAGCCACTATATACATACAGATATATGATGGAAGCTAAATTGAATTAGAACCAAAAGGATACAAATTTCAATGAACTACATTACCTTAGGATCTTAAGAACTTCGCTTGTAAAGCCAGATTGTATGAGGGACCAGATACCTGGGACCTTCAAAAGAGTAAGATCCGTAAACTTTATAACTTCGTCATGCACTGGCCGTTGTTCTACTTGAGAATTGAGTATATCTTTTGGCTCCCTCACAAAATGGGACTGAGTTTCAGACTCCACATCTCTTGTGTGTGATGTCTCAACAACACTTGTCACATCAATGCTGGCGCAATAACTGTAATCACCTTGAACTAAGGGTAATTGTTGCTCCCCTTCACCATGGTTAATATCGGAGGCTA